TTCACATAGAAGACTTAAGCTTAGTCCCAGACTAAAATGTAAGTCTTAGCTGTTTCAACTGAAATAAACTTGCACTGATTTATCTTAAAATATGTCAGTGCCCTTGTTTTGTCTTAAGCTGCACACCATGAAAAGGAAAGGACACTGATTTTTTTTTTTTTTCACTCATGAAGATCCTGGGGTATTTTATCCTCCTGGTAAGTCCAAAACGGAATAACCTCTTTAATGTTCATTCATTTTATATTTCTAACCTTTTGTCTTTTATGCTTTACTTTCGGTGGTTCTTCTCAAACTGCACTATTTGAATCGCCAAGTTGTTCAGCTCTTCACGTTCCATGTATGTGATCTCACATGTTTAGCAACACGTTTAGTGTGTAATTTTAAATCGGGCAGTCTTGTCTCACAACAGGCTGACCCAGTTCTGCCACATCTTGCCTGTCACTAGTTTTTGTCTGTTCTTGTTGACTGACAGTCTGAGGCCCTGTCCACACGAACGCGGTTATTTTTTTTAAATCGCAGCTTTTTCTACGCGGTTAGGCCATTCGTCCACACGCAAACGCAGCACCAGTTCACTGAAACCAAACATTTTTGAAAACGCCTGCCAGGGTGAAGATTTTCATAAACTCCAGTTGCAGTGTTGTCCATCATGCACCTGTCAACATTTGGGTACCAAAATACGGGAAGGGGGTATGGGGGGCTATATCTTTAGAGTTTTATCATTCATTATATTCTTGTCGATCCACCAGTTCACATTTACAACTCAGTCATTCTTGAGACGTGGAACAAAACAGGTCCAGCAAGGGTAACTGCTATTAGGTTTAAAAATAAAAATATTTTAAATGTCATGAGGGATTAATAATAGAATGTATTTAACACAATTATCACCTTCAATTTAATTTTCTCATTATTATACCAAATCTGTGTTTCTTAATGTCCTCTCACTACAACTAAACAGTGTGTCCACAGAGAAGGGTTCAATCATTCATATGCAATAAAATGGATTAAAAAAAAATTAATGATGAAAAAGAGCTTGTTTTATCAAAAGCAACACTTAATATCTCCTATCAAAGCAAGGTGGTTTTTTTAATGACACATGCATGTTTCATAAGATGTTAAAATGTAATCAAATCAGGGAATATCAGGGGCAGCTGTCACTCTAAAGGACCCCCTTGGCACAGTTCACCTCTGTAGAGTACATCAGTGTCAGACAGGCTCTGCTAAGTTTTATAGTTTTAGAATATTTTAAATTCTAATGTTAATATTTCCTGTGTCACAGCCATGATATGTCAACACCATCTTCCAATTTCTGAGCATCAACAGAAAAAAATAAAATGGCTACTACATGAACTCCATTGGTTTTGTGAAAGAAATGCCAAATTTGTCAACACCGTCAGATGTCACCACCATAAGAGTGTGTTCCAATGATATATCAAAATACTTAAATGTGACTCTTAAATAAAAGCTTTATAAACAATAACATACTCACTGTTTGTTGTGTTTGTTTTAATACAGTAATTGAGCGTGTTTTCTGCGTAAAAATAAGGGTCGTGTTGGGCTTTGGTCTAAAGTTTAGACTAATAAAGAGCAGAAGGGCTTATTGAAAAAAAAAGCAAATTCATTCTCTGCCAGCAGGTGTCGCTTTTCGCCAGGAATATAGCCGTTTGCCCCGTAACCGCAGTAAACAAAGCAGCGAAGCACCTGACTTTGAAACTTGCAGCGCTCATATTTAATCAATTAAATAGCCTTTTGAAGTGTAAGCTATATTTCAATTTCATACAAGATCTGTGCCCGGTTGCATAAAGGTCCTTAAAGGGGTCATATGATGCGATTTAAATAGTTCCTTTCTCTTTGGAGTGTTGCAAGCTCTTGGTGCATAAAGAAGATCTGTAAAGTTGCAAAGACTAAAGTCTCAAATCACAACGAAACGCACAACATCACACACGGCGGGCTAGAGTGAGCGGAGGCCGGCGGGCTAGAGTGAGGAACGGCCGGCAGACTAGAGTGAGCGGCGGCGGGCTAGAGAACGGTGCGGCCGGCGGATTTGACGAAGGACCGTCCGGCGGGCTTGCGGCAACCACATGTGATGACCCTGGGCTGGACTCCGCTTCGTCCACGTTGAAAGCCGATCCGGCAATCCACAACGCGAAGTTGTTGTATTTCCTCAGCGACCAGCACGGATCAGCTCTAGGCATGACAAAGCGGATATCGTCCTCT